ATATGTAAAGGTGCAATATTTCAGTAATATTTCTGTAATATTTCACTATAATATGTAATATTACCACTATATTGCAATATCACTGCAATATTTCTGCAATATTACGTGCTGTGTGGGATTAATGTATTATATTTTACGTATGAGGAAGACACGAGAAAACAGAAGCCATCTAGTGAATGATCCGCCCTTATAGAAATATCATACTAAGAATCATTGATAATTACTTATTTTCAGTATTAAAAATACTGAATAATAAGTAATTATCAATGATTCTTAGTATGATATTTCTATAAGGGCGATTCTTAGATATGAGAATGCTATATAACATAGATGTAATGCAAATAAACGCTTGTTATATAACATATTATATTTATATTATATTTAGTTATGTTGGTGTTATATAATTATAATCTGTAAATAACAGGGAAATTATAACAGTTCTAAAACACAGTTAGATTGCAGTTATAAAAAAAAATTATGCAACTTTAATATTAATAACGTATAACATCCCTTATATTGCGTGTTACTTCTATGTTATATAATATTTATATTCTGTGTTTGCTGAGATGAGTATGGTGAGTAACATTAATTATATTATTGACATGTTACTATGTAATATTGCATAATAATATTATAGTAATATTGTTGCATAATATACTAAATCCTAAGTAGCAAGATAATGTCAAATAACATTTTCATTTCATCATTAAAATGTTATTAAAACGTCATGTTACTTAGCATTATATCCCAGCAAACCAACACGTAACTGTTATATAACATAGGGATTACATACAGAGCACAATGTTATATTGCACAGTAATGTAAATAAGATATAAGTGTTACATAATCTTGAGAGCACTGTAATAGAACAATGTTATATATCTTCGTTATGTATATAACTTATAACAGTTATTTAAAAATGTAATATAACACAGTTATAACTCGAAGGATATTACATAAATATTACAACTGTACTCTTGGTGTGATGTAGCGCATGTTATATTACTTATACGTATATAATCTATTATTACCGATACA